GCGCTAACATCACTTTACGGCAAATGCCATTCCTAAACTTCATTCACGTTTTCCAGTTGTGTAGAGGATTGGATGATTTTGTCTGTTTACTTCCATGCTTGGTTCAGATTTTAAGTGTCTGAGTTAGTTATCGTTAGTCGTAACACCGAAGTGAAGAAAGTAAAAAATGGAGCATTTGAACAAAGGGTGGAAAAGAAAGCGCTGTGCCTAGGGACCTGAGGCTCCGTTCTGAAGAAACCTCCCTCATGGTTCTATTACTGATGCAAGTGGGGCTGGATTAGTTGAAAAGAAATAACCTGTTCTGTGGCCTCCCCTGCTGACCCCTCACCCCGTGCTCCTTCCCGCCCCCCTCACACCAAAAACACCAGACTGCTTTTGACTGGTCACCAGGCTTGCAAAACAACTTGGTTGTGTCAAAAATAGTAAGTTTGTTAGGGACACCTGGGTGGCTCAGTCAGCTAAGCATCTGCCTTTGGCTCAGGTCATGATCCTGGGGTCTTGGGATCGAGTCCTGCATCAGGCTTCTTGCTCAGCGGGGAGCCTGCTTCTCCCTCTGCCTGCCATTCCCCCACTTGTGTGCGTGCGCTCTCTCTGACAAATGAATGAATAAAAATCTTAAAAAAAAAAAAATGAGAGGCACCCGGGTGGCTCAGTGGGTTAAGCCTCTGACTTCGGCTCGGGTCATGATCTCAGGGTCCTGGGATCAAGCCCCAAATCGGGCTCTCTGCTCAGCAGGGAGCCTGCTTCTGCCTCCATCTGCCTCTCTGCCTACTTAGGCTCTCTCACTCTCTCTGTCAAATAAATAAATAAAATCTTTGAATAAGTAAATAAAATTAAAAAAATAAAAATAAATAATGAGTTTGTTTAAATAGTCACTGTTTGTTTATGGCCTTCTAAAGCCCTTTCAATGCTGGCAACTTTTTAAGTTTGAAAGGAAGGGAAAGGAATTCCTAGTGTACCTTTCCTGCTGCACCTAAACTCACTATTGCATCCGTGTTGAGAAGCACCAAAATGTTCATCAGTAGAACATGTAGGAATTATTTGAGGATGCATCTGTGTCATGGGAGGATATCTAGCCACTAAAATGTGGGGCTGCCTACATTTTTAAATGGCTTTTCTTTTTAAAATTGATATTCCATATCAGTTCTGTATGAGTTCTAGGATGTAGCTATATATATATAGAGAGAGAGAGAGAGATTTATTTATATTTATATATTTATATATGATATTTTAAAGCAAGGTTTCAAAGAGTGCTTTTTGTGCAAAAAAAGAGGGGATCTGTTATGCTTATATGTATAAATGCTAACAAACTCCAAAAGGGCACTTGGGAGACAGTTAACACTGGTCACCCACCAGTAGGGAGGTTAGCAAGTTTGGGAGTAGAAATAAAATGTACACTCTTTTTCCAGTTTGCCTTTTTTTTTTTTTTTTTTTTTTTTTTTTTTTTTTTTTTTTTTTTTTCTTTTTTTTTTAAAAAAAAAAAAAAAAAAAAAAAAAAAAACTTATTGGCACAAGCTATACCGGAATTATAAGAGCGTAAATCTCACTCCTGAAAAGTACCTGAGCTGTTTCTCAGAGCCTGTGTTGCCAGCTGGTGGTGGAATGAAGCAGAAAAAGTGGTTCTTTTTTTAAAGATTTTATTTATTTATTGGGCAGACAGAGATCACAAGTTGGCAGAGAGGCAGGCAGAGAGAGGGAAGCAGACTTCCCCCCTGAGCAGAGAGCCCGATGCGGGGCTCGATCCCAGGACCCTGAAGATCATGACCTGAGCCGAAGGCAGAGGCTTAACCCACTGAGCCACCCAGGCGCCCCCAAAACAGTGGTTCTTCTTCTTTTTTTTTCTAAGATTTATTTCTTAGAGAGGAGCTGAGGGTGGGGCGGAGCTCAGAGAGAGACAAGAGAGAGACTCTTAAGCAGACTCAGCGCTGAGCACAGAGCCTAACACAGGGCGCAGGGCCATGACCCTGAGCTCGCCAGCTGAGCTGAAACCAAGAGTCAGACGCTTCGCTGACTCCACCACCTGGACGCCCATTGAAGGTCCACCCCTAGTACACGCCCGGTGGCGGCTGCCCTGGAACGTTGGGTGTGATGCCGGGTCAGAGCTCCTGGGCGCTGAGGACCCATGGTGACTTTCTCCCCAGGTGGCTGGGGCTCAGCAGACCCCAGGGAGCACAGGTGCAGACCGCAGTCAGGCTCGGACTCACCACTGCTTGCTACTCTGCTCTTCACGGAGCCGACCTCAAACCCTGGAATGTGAGAAACATGTCCACCTGGGTATTTTTATTCATTTAGAATTTGTGCTCCATATAATTCCCAAAGGCAGAATGTCAGGGAGTGTTACTACCTTGACGGGCAATAGAAAAGTGGACAAGGACAAGTAAAAGCAGATCGTAATCCAGTAAAAGGAGCCCTACACTGGTTGTTAGTCGCTATTAGAAATACCTTGGGATGGGTAATTACTGTAGTTGGGCACTGAATTTAGCTTTGAATTTCTTGGCATGAAGGGAAAAAGGGGGAATATAAAGCCTATGGTTCTTTTTATTTGAAGCCAGAAAATAGGAAGTTTTGCCTTGGAAAAGGGACATTTTCTTGATACTCAATTCAAGAAGGAAATTCAGATGTAGACCCTTATTACAGATACATCTAGGATGACTCAGACCTACCTAGTGGCTAGTGCACGGCAAGGTTTTAAGATCAGCTGGTCGAATGTTCCAGTCAGTCGTGCGGCGGGTCCCCCGTCCCTCCCCAGTCCCCACAGCCCTTGTCCAGACTGCGCCGTCAACCTTCTGATCTGTCCCTTGCCTGTGGTTTCACTCTTTCAGGTCGTCTCCGTGCCGTGCCCACGGTTCCTCTTAGGAACGCAGATCCAGCCATAACCTGTCACTGGGCCCCTCCTGTGCACTTAAAGCTCCTTGGTTTCAGGATCTAAGACCCAAACCCTCCTACCACCCTCTCTCCCCTGCTCCCTCGATCCCAGCCTTTTCTTGGCCTGGTTTCTAGTTATGTGCCCTTTGTGCACACTCAGGGCACGTCCACCTGCCCCGCTCGGTGCTTCTTCATTTGGATCTGAGCTGCCTCATCCTTGGAAACTACCTGAACCCTGAGGTTGGTTCTCGTGGCCCTCTGTGCCTCTTTCAGGAGTGCTCGTCCAAATGGTGATGTCTTCCCCACTCAATTGCAAGCCCTCGGCAGTAAGGACCGGCCCAGGTCTTGCTCAGTCTGGGACCCCCGGCCCCACACCAGTGCCTCGTGGGGAAGAGCAGGTCAGGGGGTATTGGAGAGGAGGGAACCATCCATCAGTGGTCTGGCCACTGTAGTTGTGGGAATCCATTCTTAGAGGGTTTTGAATTGGCTTCTTCTAAAAGCATCATTATCTTCCTGGCTAATCCAGAAGAAAATTAGAACAAAGGGAAATGGTTACAGATGTTTAAGGAAAAAAAGCAAGGTAAAGCCTTTATTTTTAATCACCTTGCATTGGCAAAACTACCTCTCCAGTATTTTTGTTTAAACTTTTGAGTCAAAAGCATCCTACCAGTACGTATAAATGTCATATACATCGTTATGAGAATATTATTGCCATGAAATAATAAGCCATATATGAATGTTGTATACAACTTTAGGGTTTGCATTTAATCCTAAAGTGTTCACCTCCTTTCACGTCTATTTACACTATATTCCTATTTACTAAGTGGGGAGGGGGCTTCTTTATATAGTGCTTCATCGTTAATAAGTCAATACCTGTTCTGTTTCTAAGATGTTCTTTTCATGCATTAAAAAACTTCAAAATTAAAAAAAAAAAAAAAAAAAAGGAGGCCTCCCAGCCTCCCTCTGCAGTGGACACTACACCACATTGAGACGTCTGCCCCTGAAACACAGCTCCGATCACATCACCTCCTTGTGCCAGAACTTTCTAAGGGTCCCTACTTCCTGCAGCATGCGATCCACACCCCTTTTTCAGCCCTTCATAACTCGAGTCCTGGCTGCATTTCCAAACTCACTTTTCCCAGTGGCCTTAGTCCTTGCAGAAGGAGGCACCCGAGGTCCCTTCTGCCCCCAGTGTCTCCTCAACCCATCTCTGCACATCATAACCATTCCATAAGCGATACCCCTGGCTAAAAGTCATGCCTTCCATTGTCTGGACTCTGAGCAACTTTGACGCGGTACTGTTTCTGTCTCTTACAGCTGTTTTATGTGCACAGCTCCCGTCTGTAGTTCTGTATAGTGTCTAGCATGAACCTCACATAGTAGGTAATCATCAAATACCTTAAATGAGTGGGAAATAGTAATTATTTAGCATCTTTATAAACCAGTTTTTTTCTAGGAGCCATTTCCCTTCTGGATGCTATAATTTGTAATAAAGTTTGTTTTCGCATCTATTAATAAGTGGCCAGTCAGCTATAGATCTGTTCTTTTAAATATATGTACAGATTAGGGTGCCTGGGGGGCCCAGTCAGGTAAGCGTCCGACTCTTGATTTCTGCTCAGGTCGTGATCTCAGGGTCCTGGGATTGAGCCTAGTGTCAGGCTCTGTGCTCATCTTGGAGTCTGCTTGAGATTCTCTCCCCGTCCCTCCACTCTTCTCCCCCACCCTCTCAAATAAATAAATCAATAAATAAGCAAAATCTTTAAGTATATCTGCAGATTAGTGACTGCGAAGTCCATTCTGCACTCCTTTCTGCACACATCTCAGAGGCCTCACGGATCTTTATAACAAGGGTACAGTACTAGTCTACACTGAACACAAGAAAGCAAATTGAAATAGATGTGTGTCGCTTGGCCTTTGTGCCAGGGTGACTGCTGGAGTTAGCAAGCTCTTCAAACACTGACCCAGCGGGCCACGGAACTTGTTTCTGGATGAGCGTCACCTCCCTACCTCCTCGAGCCACACCCGCCCTCCACTCAGCCCGCGTGGTTGGAGGTCTCCCAGCCTTCCAGTCCCTGGTCCTGCTTATCGCCATGCCTCTGGCTGTGAGAGGATAACCTCCGTTTCCTTCCCAACAGGCCGACCTAAACTGCAGTATTCAGGACGATGCCGGGGCTTTTTACGGTGTAACCAGTCAGTATGAGAGTTCTGAAAATATGACAGTCACCTGTTCCACCAAAGTGTGCTCCTTTGGGAAGCAAGTAGTAGAAAAAGTAGAGGTAAGTAGGCATCTGTCCAGCGGAATCTTCACTCAAGGGCAGACTGTTGCCTTCCTGTCGGCTTGACATTGGGGCGGAGAGTTTTACTTCCTCTGGCATCTGCTCCTCTCCCTTTCTCCCACCTCTTTCCCCTGTTACCTCTAAAAAGACAGAACGATCTGAAAGCACCTGGAAGAAGATAGGGAGAGGAAGGTCCACGCCAGCCCTCCCTGACCGCGGTTGCCCGCCGTGTGTGGCCAGCAGCATTCGGTCCCGCCCGAGGTGTCGTGGGGTGTGGGAGCAGTGTGGAAGTGGGGGCAGACAGTCCCTGCCATCCATCGGATGGTGTCCTTCCCACCCCCAGGTCCAAGGGCACTTCTAGATATTGTATGTTACAACCGGGGTGGAATTCAGCTGATCAGCCACCTGCCTGCTGTAAAGCTCAGACATCTCACATGGTGGTGGTGCTTTTGCCCTTTCCACTTCTTTAATCCTTTTAAACAGATGACAGCACATACTGGGGTCAAATACCTGTTTACAGCTTTTTATATTTCATGGCCTCCCTCCCTGTCAAAAAAGTGTGGTTTTTTTTTTTTTAACCAGGGCGGGTTGCTTTGTGTGACTGATGTCTTACAGTTGACATTCCACGTAAAGTTGAATTTTTCAGTGTCTTCTGCCCATCCTCTAGTCAATCCATGTGCAGCAAGCAGCTTTGGTTCACGGTGGTCCTGGAGCTCGCAGGTCCCAGATTCTAGGCTCAGTGCGGCAGACTTCATGCCAGGGCATGGGAGAGAGCAGAGGCGATGGGCAGGAGAGCGGGAGCAAGCATGAGGGCATTAAGACTTGGGGCAGAACAGTGAGGACCTGGGATGTCGTGGCCCTTGTAGCTTCCTGAGCACAGACTGGGCCTCCCTAGAATGGTGTTGAGGGGGTGACAGTGAGCCAGAGAGGGTAGAAGAGAGTTGACTAGATGGTTGACGGTACCCGAGGCATCCTGGGCTTCCACTGAAATGGTAGCAGGGGGAATCCAGTAAGATATTCTGAATAGAACTTAGAAACTCAGTGGATATTAAAGATCCACAAGGAGGAAGAGTCAGAGGTCCCACGTTTTGTGTTTGCAAGGACAGTGCTGCCACCAACAGAGATAAAAAAGGAGGGTGCTCAGGAGCACACAGTCGGGATGATTCCAGATGCAAGATGAGAATTTGGAAGACAGGTGAAGCCTGAAAATACTGATGGGAAATCCTGAGCATTCAGGATCACTGAGACTTTGGAAATGGAGAACTAGGTGCAGAGAGCGAATAGCAGCAGAGAATAAGGGTTTAAATTTGGGGAGCAGTAGCCGGCCCTGGAGTGAGCAAAAAGGGAGATAGCGGCAGAGGACAAAAATGGATGTGAGAGGAGGGGAGCCAGCTCAGTGCATGTCTGGGAAGCCCAAGGAGAGGGTAGGCAAGAAGGTGGCCATGTAATCATTGACAGGCTCGGTAGGCCTGCAGCCCAGATGACCTCCCAGATCCTTGGAGGAGGAGGGAGCACAGTTACCACTCAGTGGTTGGGAATGTAGAATTTTCCAGGTCGGCATGGCTGCCGGGTAGCCCCATTGTCAGGCCTCACCTGAGCTGGACCTCCTGCCTGGACAAGACAAACCGGACAAGTTACTCAGTGTCCCAGATTCTAAACTCTTTTTTTTTTCTCCCCCGCGTCGTGTCCTCCAGTAACAGACCCAAAGTCTTCTGTAGTTCAGGGAGCAGGAAAAGATTGCCTTTGGCTGATGAAGGCCCAGGAATTTTCATGGAGAAGGTGGTATGAGTGTGGCAGGTGGAGTTTAGCTTTTAATTCACTTAGAATGTACTTCCCCGTTTGGTGTGAGATGGGCATCTGCTACCGTTTTCTTCCAAGTACACAAGCGTTTGTGTCAAAACCATTTATTAAGTGATTCATTCTTTTCCCACTGAGTAGATCTGAGATCTGTGTCCTTTAAGTCACCGCATATCCCTGGAGCCATTCCTGAAGTCTCCCTGATTCCCCCTCTGTTTATCTCAACAGCGTCCCAGTGCCATGTTGATTTGATTACAGTGGCTTTATAGCACATTCCTCTGCAGGCACAAGTCAATCTGGCTGTTGTTTTCCATATATTTTCTAGGCTAGTAAACAGCATTTATTCTTCAAAAAAATGAGATCACTTAAAAAAAAAAAAAACCCAGTAAAGAAAACCAAAATCCTCGCTTGATCAATCTAATTGTAATTGTACTAGATTTAGACATTATTTTGGGATAAATTGATACCAATACTAAATGTTTCCAGTTGAGAACCTATTTGCATTTCTATCTCATTTATCTTAATAAGATTTTATAGTTTTCACGTATAGGTTTATCCCTTTTTTGTTAAATGTATTCCTAAATAGTATATAATTTGTTAATACAATTTCTTATTTCTGGGTTTTAATTACAAGAAGAGAGGAAAGCTCTTGGTTTTTGCTTATCTATGTTTTACCTGGCCATCTTGCCATATTCTCTTCTTTATCTCCAGTAGTTTTTTCTCCCCCTAGATTCTTGGATTTTCTATGTGTATGTTCATAGCAGCAGCAAAAACAGAAGGCTTTATTTCATCTCCTCTTTTCCAATGTTTTTGCCACCTTTTCTGTTTTGGTTATTTTCTCACCTTCTTTCCATTTGCTAAAACCTCCAACATTGTCATAAAAAGAAGTAGACCGGTGAGTGGTGACTGCTGCCCATAGAGTTTTTGGTGTTTTACCATTTCGGGTTATATACGTTCACTGTTGGATTGTATAAGCGGTCTTTATTTTGTATTTAGGTGCTTTCTTTCTCTTCCCGTTGTACGAGGGTTCTTATTAGTAACAGCTGCAATATTTTATCAAATGCCTTTTCAGCATCTCTTATATGACTTTTCTCCAAGTTGTGGGCATCACGAGTTTGTACCCATCCCATGTAGGAGCCACCACAACATTCCTGAAGAAAGTCCTGCTTTGGACACAGTGACTCTTCTCTTGGCTGTTCTACATAAGATTTTAGCATCTCCTAAGTGATACTAGGACACTCCTCTTTCTAATCTCTTTATGTCCATTAGTTTCACAAAAAGAATTGGGACACCTGCCTATTTCTGTGGCCTGGCATTGTTTGCATAACAATAAGAGTAATTATTCTTTTAGATTTGCATAAAACTCAGCAGTGAAACAATTTGGTCTTTGTACCTTTCTCCGTGGTGAGTCTCTGAACAATTTTTTGGTCACCTCCACCGTAAGGGACCTACTGGAGTTTTCTCCTTTGTGGTTCAATATTAGTAATTCATACTTTGCTGGGAAGTCATCCTCTCCTCTAGGCTTTTTTGCCTTACAGTTACACGAGGTAACCTTTTACAGATCTTCCGATCTCTCCCGTAATTGTGGTTTTGTCTCTTTTCTCTGTTAAGCTTGTGAAGGCTTGATTTTCTTTTGACTTTTTAAAGAAACCAGTTTTTTAATTTATTCTGCCCACATTTTTTATCTCTGTTAACATCTATTTGAGCTTTTATCTTTATTAATTTCCTATTCCTGGTTTCCTTTGGTTTCTTTGTGGCTTGGGTTTATTTTGTGGGTTTTTTGTTGTTGTTTCATTTTTTTTTTTAATTTCAGACATGGTTTAGTTCTATAATTTTTTACCTTTAATTGTGAACTCATGAAGCTGCTTTGTTAAGTTTCCTCCAAGTAGAGCTTCATCAGGTCCCCTAAGTTTTGATGTCAAGTGTTTCCCTTTTCATTACTTTTGAGATAGTTTGTAATTTCCTTTTTAATTCTTCTTTGATCCAAGACTGTCTAGGGATGTGTCTCTTATTTCTCAGTCTTTCCGTGGGATCTTCCATACCCGTATTTTCTTTCTTTTCCATGTTTATTAAAGACATAAATCACTCACAGTCAGGAGTTCGTGATCAGTGTGAAGTAGTTTTTCCTGAGGTAGAGAAATTAGCTGCCAAAGTCGTTGGTCTGTGAGGCCTTATAACAGTGGGGGAGGATTTTCTCTGGACTCTTTGAAGAGTTGTAATTGGCTGGGCCTTGCTCCCCCACATCTCCAGGCAGAAAATCACTAAGTAGGTGATTATATTTCTTTCTGACCTTTGCTTTCTTTTCTTTCTGACCTAGACAACCCTTCTCTAAAGCTCTCTTGTTTCCACTGTTTTTTGTTTTTTTTTAAAGTTCCCAGAAAAGTAATGGATTTCTGAGTATGGCATTAAGTTTGGAGATAGGATTTCTTTTAAAATAAGTACACTGTGTAACTAGTACAACAGCATCTAGCAGATGACTTCTGTTGAAAAAGGAAAAGAAAAATGCTTTTGAAGGCAGTAACAGCGTTTTCATGTATCTTGAAGTCCAAAGTGTAAACGTGCTCAACTCCTTTCTCCCCTCACAGACGGAGTATGCAAGGTTTGAGAACGGCCGATTTGTGTACCGAATAAACCGCTCCCCAATGTGTGAATATATGATAAACTTCATCCACAAGCTCAAACACTTACCGGAGAAATACATGATGAACAGTGTTTTGGAAAACTTCACAATCTTATTGGTAACTGTTTTGCCTCTTTCTTCTTGTGGCTGACACAGTCCGACGCTGGAGGGGAAGGGGGCAGGAAGGTGACGGGGTGTAGGGGTGCTGAGCAGGCTGTGGGAAGATCACCATTTGAATCCACAGCACCCAGGGCAAAAGCTAGGGCTCTGCTTGGGCTCAAGTCTCTAGAAGAGACAGGGTCTCATCTGGTGAGGCTCATTAGCTCTTTGAAGCTCAGGAAAACTGGAATTCAGGTGGGTCAGTTCAGCTGCACGTTAGAAAGGCGTGAGGAACTTCTTAAAATACTTTAAAACTTTTAAAAGCCTGACACCAAGGCGGCATCCTAGATCGACGAAATCAGGACCTTTGAGGAGAGAAGCCAGGCGTGAATACTTATCGTTCTCTAGGTCATTCCAGTGTCAGCCCCGCGTGAGTCCCAGCCACCGAGTAGGCAGATAGCAGATGAGACAAAAACTGAGTCAGTGGGTTCGTACTTCAAATACACCTTGACTCATTTCACGAAGGATTGCAAGGCCCTATAAGAAGTCATGCGCACTAAGATCGCAAAATACAAACCCTCGGCACCACAAGAAATGGAAATTAGAATGTCATGACCTGAAAATAGTCCCCATAGGCTGAAGAGTATGGTCAAAGCTTGGACAGCTAAAGGGAAAGTAAAAGCAGTGGTTGGTGCCCAGAGTCCATGATGGGAGAAGTTTCCTGTGCCCCTGGTCAGTGTTGGAGAGTAGGGGCGGATCCCCTCATGTTTAACTTTAAAACAAATTTCTCATCGGGGCTCCGTTTGGATACTTGGGAAGAAGGTTATAAGAACAGCAATGTCCTCAAAAATCTGCCTACAAAATACGTAGCAAGGGGTTTTATTAGGCTCATTTTTGAAAAAAAAATTTAATATTCCTTGACTTAAGCGAAGGAAAAATGCCAAAACAAAACTTAGAAACAGGATTGCTCAAAGGGCACAAGACAGTATCACGGTCACATACTCAGCCCTCTGAAGCCCTGCTTTGTTACGCTGTTACTAGGATTGAGAACTAGAATACTTAGAGCAGAAGTTCTTGACCCAGAGGTTTTGGACTCATGGCGACTAGAGTTCACCATCTGTGGTGTGCTACTTTAAAAAAAAAACAAGCAAAAAAACCCCCAACTATCCCCACCCTCCCCCCCAAACCCTGATTTATTAGCATTTCCCCATTTCCATGGTATAAATATATCCTCCATGGTCAATTTCAAGGTACCAGTGGGCTGTCCGGCTCATAAAATTCCTTCGTATTTAACTTGCCAGAGCCAGAGGGACCCAGTTTCCTCACAACAGTATAAAAACTGAATAAACAAAACTTAAAAAAATTAAAATCCTAATGCATATCAGATTCACACAGGAATTTTTTTTTTAATATTTTATTTATTTGTCAGAGAGAGCACAAGCAGGCAAAGTGGCAGGCAGAGGCAGAGAGAGAAGCAGGTTCCCCACTGAGCAGAGAGCCTGATGTGGGACTCGATCCCAGGACCCTGGGATCATGACCTGAGCCGAAGGCAGTGGCTGAACCGACTGAGCCACCCAGGCATCCCCACACAGGAAGCTTTTAAAAATTCGGGGGGGGGGGGGGGTAGGGCCCACAGGGCCCACCCAGCATCGCCATTCTTGTTTTATTTTAATGGCTCCCCGGGTAGTTGAGACCTGCAGCTCAGGGGGATGGCAGTGAGCTGCGGGGAGTCTCAAGTCCACAGACACGTGATGGGCATACAGTTGGCTGACAGATAATTGTGCGTGTAATTTTCATTTATTCCTGAGAGAGAATCCCAGTGGATTCTCTGGCATGTCCATAGGAGACTAGCAATCTGGGGGAAACTTTGGAAAACCTGTTCTTTACCAAGAACAGGTTATTGTTTAATTAGTATTGTTTACCGAGAATATTATTGATTAGTATCCTGTTCTGTAATGGTTGTTAGTGAAAACGGAGCAGATCCTGGTTTGGGGTGCTGGCGGGTCCCTGACCTACGGCTGGTTTCTGTTGCTAGTTAGGAACAGGGGACTTTGTGCTCAGATGGGCAGAAGGTGAGTGTGTCGTACCTTGGTGTGGACAGTTAATAGCCTTAGGAATTCACCCAAACTCTCTGAGTGAATGGCCAGCCCATCTCTCTTGGAAGCAGTCTTAGCTGTCCTTACAAACCAGTTCTGAGTCTGTGTCAGCATTTTAAGGACTATGCCCTCCATCCCTACCCCTGCCTCACAGAGCACAGCTGAGGAAAAGAAGGCCGGGAAGAAACTCAAAGCATCTATTTAGCCACAAAATCCATGAGACCAAATCAGTAGTTCTCCTTGAACATGTGACTTCAAGCAGCCTGGCTATCCAGAGAGAGCATTACTTTAATTCCAGAATTTATCATTAAGCAACTAGAAAAATTCCTTTGCTGTGATGAATTAGTAGCTCTCAGTAAATATTTGCTAGAAATTTAGCATTTAGAAAAGCTGAAATTATACCAGAACTCCTGGATTATGGAATGAAATCAACTCGTTGAGAAAGGAAAGAGAGTACTTTTCAGCTCTTCCTTGGGGGCGGCAGGGGGAGATGTAGGAACACAGCCAGGATGGCAGCTGCTGGACGTAGTTGCAGGCATTTTACTAGGTATTGGATTACAAAGCCTGTGTCAGCAAGACCAGTTCCAGACCCTGCTGGCCAGTGAGCTAAAGTCTTTGATTTCAACAGGATGATACAGAAATTGAGGTGAACCTGTAAATGCAGGGCCTGAGTGACAATATCCAGACAGACTGAGGAAGACTGTCACTGAATTACAGGCCAAGTGTTCCCGTTGTCTTTGGAATTGCATTCAGACATACATACATACAGGTTGCTAGAAACATTTTTTTCTTTACTTTTTTTGAATCTTAATCATGAAGTCTAGGACATATTCAGGGCACCTGGCTGACTCAGTCGGTAGAGCAGGGAACTCTTGGTCTCAGGGTTACGAGTTCAAGCCCCGTGCTGGGCCTGGAGGCTAAAAAAGAAAAAGATAAATAGAACATAGTCTTTCCTAGAGAGTTTGCAAGACAGTAAGGCAGATCATGGAGGCTCCAGGCACGGTGCTAAATCCTTTGTAAATGTGATATTATGAAATTCTCACTGCAGACTATGAGGTCGTATTTATTCCCATTTTATGGGTAAGGAGTGTTAGGCCTCCCTGAGGTCACAGAGCTGGTGACAGATATAAACGAAGACTTAGAAGGATAGGAAAGCTACTTTGCGGCTATTTCATGATCACGCAGTCAGAAGACTGGGGTTTAAGATGCAGCTCTACTTAATGACATTGGTTTGGATAAGTCGCTGAACGTCTCTAAACTCAGTTCCCTCCTCCACTTATAAACAAAATGCTCTCTAGATGCCCCACCTCAGAGGTTGTTGAGAATATTTGCTTTCATTCAGCTAAACTGTGGAGAGATTATAATCGCTGTCAGGGTGCAGTGCAGGCAAAACAGTGCCTATTCCAGAGCAAATCTTGGCCTGCTCCAGGGAAAGAGGCAGGTGAAGAAGTGGTTACAGTACATTCATACAATGCTTGCCTGTGGTATTCTTGGGAAACAGACACCTGGGCGTACAGAGTATTGAATGGGGCATCCTCAAGGCATGTAAACAGCTGGTGCTTAAGTTACCTTGATGGGTAAACAGACATGTTTCAGATTTACCAAGAAAAGCGCTGTCTCATGGGTGTGTACTTACATGTCAGGGGCTGAGATGTAAACTAGATGGGGGTGGGGGGCAGCCATCTTGGAAGCCCCTGAGGGAGGCAGGTGCTCCTCAAGCAATCGCAAAATGGATGTAAACCACACGGAGGCTGGTGGCTGACAGAGGGCGGTACATGGTGCCCAGAGAGCGGATGCCAGGAGTATTTGACCTGAGGAGGGAGGTCAGAGAAGGCTTCCCTCAGGCAGAGATAGAGGAGGCATCCCTGCCAGATGACTGGGTAAGAGGGTAGAGAAAAGTACCACAGGTGGGCGGGCAGGTGGGAGGACTAGAAATAGGCTGGTGTGGCTGGTGTGGAAAAAGATAGAGGAAAGCAAGGAGCAGGTAGCTGGCTGGGTAGGAACAGCCAGATGAGGCTGGAGCTCCTGGGCCTTACTGGCTGGAGAGTTTGGAAGTTGAATACAGGCCATGGGGGTTGTTAAGCAAGAGGGCATTCTTGTCAGAGTTGTATTGTTCACAGGGTCATTGTGGCTGCTGTGTACTGGGAGTAGGAAGGGGCAGGGTGGCTCCGGTGGGGGAGGCCAGGTGCTTTGCTGGTACCCTGGGCCATGGCAGTGGTAGAAGGCATGGGATCAAGGACTGTTCCGGAGGTAAGAATAGCAGGATGTGGCATTTCTTTTTTATTTTATCTTTTTAAGGATTTTATTTATTTATTTGTTAGGGACACAGCGAGAGAGAAAACACAAGCAGGGGGAGTGGGAGAGGGAGAAGCAGGCTTTCTGCTAAGCAGGGAACCCGATGCAGGACTCGATCCCAGGACCCCGGGATCATGACCTGAGCTGAAGGCAGACGCTTAACTGACTGAGCCACCCAGGCACCCCAGGGCATGGCATTTCTTTGCATATAGGGACAGAGAGATTTCCAGGACAGAAGGCCTGCATGCTTAGAGTCTTCTATTTGTGAGGGAAGGGGCAGGAAGTAAGACTAGGAAGGAAGGAAGTGGGAACCAGTATTTAGTCAAATCTTTACTACCCAGGGAAAAAAAAAGGTCAATAATCTATTACTTTATCCATTCCTTGTCTAGAGCAGCATGGCTTCATGGTTAGGGAAAAAGGTCTTCGAAGTCAGAGATACGTTTCTTCGGTGACAGTTGTGTACCCTTTGGTCCACTCCCTGGCCTCACTTGCTGTCAGAGGGAGGTGACCGGGCACCCATTCATGAAGTTGTGCTATTATACCAGACAGTGTGTGTGAAGCAGTTCGTACCGAGCGGGTGTACGCTACGTAGTTAATGTATGTTGACTATTATGTCGCTCTTCATTCCTTCCACACGGTTTTTTTTAAGATTTTTTTTTTTTTTTTTAATTTATTTGACAGAGATCACAGGTAGGCAGAGAGGCAGGCAGAGAGAGACGAAGAAGCAGGCCCCCTGCTGAGCAGGACCCTGGGATCATGACCTGAGCCAAAGGCAGAGGCTTTAACCCACTGAGCCACCCAGGCTCCCCGCTCCACACACATTTTTATTAAACAACTGTTTTGTGCCAAGCTAGTTACTAGGAAACACGGCCCCCGTTCTTCAGGAACTTAGAGCCCACTGAATGACATGGATGTTTAAAAAAAAAAAAAAAAAACCACAAATCTGTGTGTACTTACAGACTGTACTATGTGCCCTGATGGGACAGTTAAAAGTGTGTGAGTTTGTATTCTTCAGTCAAGGGCCATACACTCGGATGCCTTGAGAGTAAGGGAATTGGAATGGGTGAAGCGGCCCACAGTGCTGGGGCGGGGGGGAGTGACATGCTGGCCTAGGCCCTCAGATTCACAGTGTTTGAAGACACTAAGCTGTCTTCAGGCAAAACACACACACAACAGCATCACTGAAACTGTGGGGAAGTGAGCTAGATTTGCTTTTTTTGGAAAGTTACTTCTGAGAACGGCTCTGGGAAGCAGGCAGGGTCCAGTGGGGAGGGGCCACAGGGACCTGGGTCAGATCTGGTCACTCAAGGGAAGAACGCAGGCTAAGGCCACGGGCGCGAGGAGGAGAGAGCTGGAGTCCAGTGACTTGAACCAAGAGGGGAAGCAGATGAATGTTTCAGAGTACGTTTTGAAAGGTAAAGCCTGTGTGCATGGAAAGAGGGATCATTTAATGTGATTCTACCACTGTGCCTTACTCACTCAGCGTCTAGGGTACTGAGTCCCAGCACAGCCGGTTAAAGTGCTGAGCTAGTATTCGTGGAGCTCGCGTCTCTCGTGAGCTGTTGTGAAACAAATCTAGTAAAAGTTTAAGAATAAGATAGGAAGCAATTCCTAAGGTAAACGACTGTCTTGTGGGACAGGATTCTAGAAAATGGTCTTTGTTGTAAAGAAATCAACCCTCCTAAAAAACCCGAACTAATTCTTGTGGGCTCAAATTAGGGGTGAGACCTTGTCCGTAAGGTATGTCTTATACATGGTAAATACATGGTAACTAAGTTCAGCTAGGATTCAGCTAGGATTCAAGTCAGATCCCTAATTATCCTGAGTTGATACTGGAGGGGGCAGCGTGAGGCTGGGACGTGTGCAGTAGTCTCCCTGCTGAACTTGAGACCGTCCCTCTCCAAGCAAACCCTAGTTGCCATGGCACAGATGGACCATGTTTGCTATGTGGGGGTTTTTCTCTCCCTCTATGTGTCTGTGTATATATAAGTATATACTTTTTCTTTTTTTTAACAGGTGGTAACAAACAGGGATACACAAGAAACTCTCCTGTGCATGGCCTGTGTATTTGAAGTTTCAAATAGTGAACATGGAGCACAACATCATATTTACAGGCTTGTAAAGGACTGAACATGGTTATTTATATATATAGATATCTGTATATACACACACACACATATGTGCACACACACACACACACTCCATTATTGAATGACTGACTGTAAACCTCACCACACAGGGGGGTGCCCTGGCCCTGAGGTCACCCTGACTTTTCTAAATCCTGTTTGAGTGAAGTCATTATTTTTTTTTTTCATGTGTTCATACTATCATTGTAGCTGTGAAGTTCTGGTACAGTTGTAAAAAGAGAAATCTGAGTGGTTTCTATGTGTTCTTCACATCCGCAGCCCACAATTCCTCGGGAAAGGTGAACCTTAAGAACCCGGGTCTCTGTCTGCAGAGACCTGTCTCTAATTGTGGTAGGGAAAAAAAAATTGAGACAGAACATTTGCCATGGGGCTTTTATAGCCTTTATACAAATGTATTTAGTTCTGGTTTTATTTTGTTTTTTTTCCAACATAAAATTCTTGTTTTAAGATACAAGTAAAATTAATCTTTAAATATAAATGTAAATTAGTACACAAAACTAAGAATCTTTAGACTTATCTTTGTAACTAATTAGGGTGGAAGTTTTGAAAGAATGTAATTCACTAAATTATTTTTTAAATGAAACTTTTCTTTCTTTTTGAAGCCAAATGTTAAAATATAGCCTTAAATGCTTGGTAGAAATATTCTAATGAGACAAATTTGTACTTTTTTTTTTTTTCTCAAGGTGAAAACTAATCTCTTAATCCATTAAACTCTTGAACAGGTATTACAAAGGAAGAAAACTTCACCCCTTATCCTTAACATATATAGTATATTTAAAAAATATAAAATTGTATTGTACTAATGTGATGATTATTTAATGAAGAAAAAAAAAAGGATGGCTCTTTTTGCAATAAGTAGATAAATACTGAAAACCTAAACGTACAAATGTTTATAGTCTTGTGTGTGCAGTTATATTTTATATGGACAACCAAATTTTTTACCAAGATGAGTAAATGTTTGAATCACTGAAATTTAATAACAAAAATTGAAAATTGGCATGAATACTGCACTGTGAGCTGCAAAGTAGAGAAAAATCCTGTGGCTGGGAGAAATTTCACCAACCAAACAAGAAAAAGGCTCATCAGTTTTAGCATCTCTGCTCCCCAGAAAATTGCAAGCATCCTTTCCAGCCTGTGGATAAATTCTTTCTGGTGAACCAGTGTGCATAGTAACCTGCCATAATGTGTGTGTCCATGTGTGTTTGTGTACACATCCACACATATACACATACAGTTATCAGACATATTTAATGAACATCTCTTTAATGTCACCAGTTTGCTAGGTGCTGATACGTACGTGTACACGTATATTTCAGTCTGTGTCCCTAGATCTAGATACCTTCTCAAAGGACATCTGTTTCCTCAGCATCTCTCGATAGTCACAGTGCTTGTTTGACTGAGTTTGGAGAGGCCCAGCGTTCTCTCTGACTTTTTTTTTTTTTTCCAACAGACTCATCTGGGAGGTTCTCCTCCCAGGAGAAATTCAACTTTCCAACCCAGATATTCCAAAGCATTGCCCAGGCAGAGTTGGTTCGAAGTGGCCGTGTGTCTTGGGTTATTTCTGTAAGTGCTTCACTGGGAAGGAGACAGGGTTACACTCCCCAGCTTCCCAGAGGAAAATGACATTCTTACAATCGCCAGGAATAGATTTCACACAATAGAACGTGAAGTAAGTTTTTTAAGTTGTGAAACCTGTCGTGGCTTTTTTATCAAGCCAGAAAAGAAATACCTTGTTCTTTCACATCCTAGTAACTTATCCGTTTCCCTGTCCCACCACCTGCTCTGATCCTGCTTGGATATTGGTTAGAGGGTCTGGTGTGGCTGGCTTGTGGCCAACAAGCCACCGGACCAAGCCTGACCTCTCTAAGACTCATGCCACCGGTTCCTGGGAAGACCAGTGAAAAAAGTGCAAAACTTCTCCCATTTGGAACGCACACCTCTCATATAAACCAGTAGGCTGATGTCTGTCTTCCCTCCGTGAAAAAACTACCATTTATTCTCTGATTCTAAAGGGTTTGAAGGATTGCCCTAGTGGTCTGCCCTTTCATCTGGCCTTCCATGCAGGCACCGAATCTTCTGCCGTAGTCATCATACTTAATGACTTCTCTTGGGCAGCCCTCCTAGGAATGTTCCTTTTGCTTCTGTCTCCCACATCTTTCCTCAGTGGAAACCCCACTCTTCCAGGGCCAGGACCCTATGAAGGGGGAGGTAAAGGATCTTCTATGTCCAGAGCCAGCCCAGAACTTCAGCGAGAGGAGTATCTGATTCCCATTCCCACACAGGAATGGGGCTCTTCTGTCTGCCAGGAGGCCTCTTGGGATTTACTTTTCAAAGCACAAATAGACCCCAGAAGAGCAGCTGGAGGGTGGTTCTGCTGGCTGAGGGAAGGGCACACCCCGGCCTGCTGAGCTCATGGAGGCAGGCTGTGCCCTCCTCCCCCAGATGCCTTTGGAGCTGAGTTTGGGGCATTTGCATGAACACGCTGGAGGATAGCTTTTTGCTCTTAAAAACATTTCTAGGAGCCTTAAAATTTTTCTTCTCATCTTGTTCTCCTAAAACTTTCTCTAGGGCAGATATTTTCCCTATCTTAACCACGGATCCAGTTACCCAAACCCTTGGCCATCTCTGTCTCTGCCAAGTTAGGTGCTGGGGTGGGGTTTCTGTGGCGGTGCCTAATGCAAGTCTGTCTGTAGTCTTTCATCCTTTGTCGTAGTCTTCTCCCTTGAGCTGGCAAGCTTCCCCAACTATAAAAAAGCCTTTCCAGGCCCCTGTCCTTACAGCTTTTGGGTACCAGGTCTCCTGGCGACCCTGCATCACCAGCCTTGAGTCAGGGGCATCTCATACTTTCCTGGGGAGCATGGAGGCCCATCTCTCACAGCCAACCCAGGAGGGAGCTGAAAAACTGGACTCTGGTCTGTGGGCATTCGTTTCCATCTTAGCAAGAGCCTTAAAATGACTGTCAGGACTTCTCCAGAACAGGTTCCAGAATCCCAGAAGGTCTGTGTTACTCTTCAGTCAGGGGCTCTCAGCCTTGATACTGTTGGCAAGTTGAGAGCAGTTCTTTGTCCTGCACCATGTCCCGGGCCTTCCCCATGCTCTCCCTGCTATCGCCACGACCCAGAGTATCTCCAGACATTGCCACATGTTCTGTGGAGCCCAATATGACCCCCAGTGGAGAACCCCTGCCCTAGATCCTACAGGTCACAAATACCATATTGGAGATCTTCTTTTTCCCTTCCAATCTCACCCCGAGAAAGCTGCTGCTGTCCCAGGAGCTTTGTTTCAGGTCATGAAGAGGCAGGTAGGAAGGTTCCTCAAATGACATTACGTCCAGGTCTCTTCCCCTTCAGGGCATCTCCCACAGCAGAGTCTGTCTTGCTACAGAGGCTTCCTTCATTCATCACTGGGGATGTTGGGAATAGCAGGTCACCCCCATCCCCATGATCATCTCGAACCTCTGTAAGGTGCATCTGTGATCTGATCTTCATTCCTCAGTTTACCAGCTTTAAAAGACATCCCAGCTGTGTTCATTATTCTCGTAAGCATCTGGGTCTCACGATTGAAGCGTTCCTCATTTCGGTAAGCTTCCTCTGGTCTTCTGCTTTCTGCCCTACACTCAGTGCTGTTTTTAGAATTTATGGAAGCCTTTGGAACACTGCATCTTTAAGGTTGGAGGAGAGAGGGACCAGTTCTGGAAGCAGGGGGTGATAGATTTTTTTCCTTACTGAGCTAAAAGAGAGCACAACCTACTCTCTCCTTCATTTAGCAGATGAGAAAGTTGAGATCCAGAGGGGAGGTGACTTGCCCAGAGTCACCCAGCTGGTTAGTGACGGAATCAGGGTGCGGCTCTGGGACCTTGCCACTTAATCCTTGGCCTCTTACAGTGAAGGTGGTTCCTCTTCGGTGCTCATGCCTCAGTGATCCCTACAAAGATGTGCACAGGCTCAGTGCGGAGGACGGGGGGGACTAAGAACCTCCCCCTCAGCCAGAGCATGGCATCGACCCGATGCTGACGCCGCTTCCCCCATGGAGCCTCTGGTCTGATTGGAGCTACACGAGGCAGCCACAAGCAGATACAAAAGCTGATGAGCCTTTTCACTTACCCTGAGGACAATTCACCTGCCACAGAATCTCGAGTCCATTTTTTACCTGCTACGCAACCCAGCCGCCATGTCCCACGCTCAGACCAGCCAAAAAGCAGCCCCTGTTCCCAGCACTTGGTGTTAAAAGTCCGCAAGTGAATTTAACCCAAGTCTTCTCTAGGTCTCGATACTGTAGTGGCTTTAGCAGTCTGTTTTTTGTACAACCTTAAATTATTTAAACCGGCTGAGATGACAGTCAGTCTTACAAACCAGGTACATAGGATCTAAGTTCATGTATGCTCTGTCTGGTACACTACACCTGTCCTCACGAAGGGTAGAACCGATCCCGTGCGTTGGCGTTCACACCCGTGACAGCGAGAGCATATGTCTGCATCGCTTCTTTCTTTCTGTTGACGTTTCTGTGGCAAAGCCCTGCACGTGTCATTTCTGAAAAGCCTTAAATCTTTGAGACATTGTGTGTAGGGTGTGCAGTGCCGAAGGCTGCCTCGGAACTGTGAGCCCTTTTGTAAGCTGGAAGCATTTCTCTTACTACTGTTCCTTTTTTTAGGGAGTTTTAAATTCAAAGCTGCCAAAGCGTTCCAGTAAGCAGTGCCTTAGTGATACCTAGTCGTCCCCGGCCCTCCGCATCCATTCACAAATTGGCCCCATATTTGAAACCACACAGGCAAAAATTGTTCGCATTTCTCTTTCGTAAGCCCATTTTTTTCTCCAGTTCTAGAGGACACTGACCACTCGGTCTAAAATCGGAAACTGAACACGAGGCGGTTCTTCGACCTCATTCTCAAATGTATATACCAAAACGGAAGGTTTTCCAACTTCGTAGTTTACTCTGAGAAGCAAATTGTACTTTTAAAGTTGCCTTTTAAATTCACGACCAAATACTTAGCTATTTATGAATCTTCTGCGCTCTAGCATGGAAGTGCCTTTGGTTTGAGATTCCAGCTTAGAAAAGTGCTGCCATATAACGATAATTTGTAGAGAGACCAAAAATATTCTGAGATCACCGTAATGCCTTTGGTTTACCAGGATGAGTAACCAACCACAGGCCTCTGTCCACAAGGGCGCGACGCGGACCCTGCCTGCCGCCACCATCGTCCCACAGTAGCAGCAGCAGGAGGGACCCCAGGAACTGTTGTGTGTGTGTGTGTGTGTGTCCGCGACCCCGGGCGTCCTCTCCGCCCATCACCCGGCCCTGTGTCCGCGCCAGGGGACTGCCACACAGACGACAGACTTGCGGCCGGTGGACAGATCTGTCCTTCCCCTCGTGTGCGTGTGCAGTCTCTGTGGAGGCTTTCTTTTCCATTCCGATGACAGCGCGCACTTCTCTGGTCTACGCAGTGACACCACTCTGGAAGTTGGAAGCCTCGAACCGAGATGCGAGTGCAGAACAAAAATGAGTTAGGGTCATTACAATTGAAGTGTTCTTCTTATGGCGAAAATGTTGACTCTGAGTGTTGTGTACGAATGTGCGATGAGAAACTTCCAAAGAGCACCATTCACAATTTGGCATTTTCAAAGAATGTTCCAGCCCTCAAAGGGCAACCCTTTAGAGTCCGTGTCGGCTTTTATCAAAACCTTGTATAGATCGGGAAAACTGATAGAGGTAAGGAAGAGGCGTGGAAAGGACCAGAAGGCAAAAACACCAGCCAAACAAAAGCCAGGAGGAGAAAAAAAAAAAATGGTCTTTACCCATATAGACTTCCAAATGACACCAGACATCTTTGAAAGTTAGCCTCTGAACTCTTAATGCGTATGTTCTTTTGTCTCTCCCTGGTGTCTTTAAGATTACCCTGTCTGGGCTCTGAAATTTCAGGAGTGATTTCTATCCACACCATGTTGTGAGTATTTATAGAAATTTCTACAAGAAAAACAAAACAAAACAAAACAAAACCCGTCAAATGATGAAAAGTAAAATGAGCTAACATGAGCGCTAGTCAGCTGCTTGAGTTCGGCCCTCCCTGTCCGTACTTGTGTCACCCCTGGAAAGGAACTCATCAAATGCTTGTTTTCCTGCTTCTCTTTTCAACTGTTACTGCGCTTTGTTGGTTTGGCGATAGTTTTCTCTCATAAACTCATTGCTTCTGTTGTGAAGAGTGAAAGTCTTGTGTTTAAAATTTACTGCATTTGCAAGGATAGTTTCGCTGAAGTCATGCACCATTAACTAAGATGAAATATCGGTATTTATTGTCCTACTTCCTAAGGCTGTAGCTTGTTTTATTCTTTGTGAATTTGCAGTGAGTCGGTCATACACCACACTACATCATTTTAGTTTGTTTGAAATGGCAGTTACGTTCCCTCTGTTCCTCATTAAATGGGGTCAGATTCCAGGCGATGCCAACCTCTCTCAGGTAGGCTCTTTTGTCTGCCTTCCATTATGAGATGGTTTTCCCTTCCCCTGTCTCTCAGAGAGGCTGACAAAATCTAGGTGTAAATCAATTGGAAACCAGTCTCTTATTTTATTACTACTACTATTATTATTATTATTTTGGATCAGTCATTTTCTGTGATTAGTTTGACTATGTAAATTAGATATTAACTGCACTTCTTTAAAAAAAAAAAAAATACATCTCCCTGTTACCTCCTTGAAAGATTCACTTCTGTAGGCCTTTGTCTATAGGCTCTAGCCTGCAGATAAGGAAAAAAAAAAAGAAAAGAAAAGAAAGAAAGAAAACAAAAACAGTACGTGCCTGAAAAACAACAAAAACAATTTTGTAACGTTTAAAAAAAGAAACCCGAATAGCCTTTAATTCTTTAATATGCTTAAATTTTATGTAAATTGGTTTTGCCACATGTGTTTGTTCACGTTCTAAATGACTTTAATGGGATTCTCACAGTCGGTGTCTTTGTGTCCCGTGTATACTATGGGCTTGTGACGTAAGCGCTTCATCTGGTCAGTGGTCGCTTTGATATTGTACTGCAGCTGGGAGGGGGCTCTGGAATGTGCCCCTGGGTGATAAGGTTCCTCTCGATAGATTGGAGAGATGGGGGTGGGGGGCAAATTCTCACACATGTTTTCTTAAACTATTTGCAGAAACTTTCAAAAAGGCATTTGGTTAAACCTCTTGGCAGTACAGTATTCTTGTATTAATGTCTGTGTTTAGGTACTGGTACCATTTTGTTTAAAAATGTTCTAAGTGTTGGCTTTAAAGTGAATTTATCTTTAGTATGATAGTTATATGAAAATTATAGGGTTTGTGTGCAGAGAATTTTTTTATAAAGTGCTTTGTAAAAAAAAAAAAATGTATTCTAGCTTTCGCGGTACATATGTGTGATAACTTTAATATCCATGACAGTTAAGTGCAATTATTTCATCACTCTAAAAATGCTATTTTTGTGTCAGTTCCTGCAGGTGTTTTCATGTCTTTGCAAAGTGACACATTTTGATGCCTTCTTGATAAAGTGGTAGACATTTTGTAGCTTTCTAGAAACTTTGTATTCATACGGTATCAATGAAAAATAAAGAAAATGAAAGTGTGGGTTACCTTTTTTATCTGCAGAAGTGTCTGTTGTTGAAAATGACGTGATTGTGCGTTGTGGGGGAACTGTGGGGTTCATGATTTGGGTGGGTGCGGCACAGCCCTCTGTAAGAAAGCCTTTGATACATTAGGTGTGTACCGTGTGGTGGGCACTGGGCAGGTGTGTTGATACAATGTGGATATATTGTTTCCTTCCATTCTTGCCTTAGTTCCAAAGTCAGTGAGGTTATTATCCCCACCCCAGGCTCAGAAAAGATGGATCCATCCGCAGTCATGACTGGTGAGTGGTGGAGCCTTAAATAGGTCACCCTGATGCTCAGGCCTGGACTCACCCCTCCCCCCCTAACCTCCCTCCCCGGCCTTGCATACCACCACCACCACCCACGTAAGTGCTCCCCTGCCCCATGGGTTTATTTGAAATCTGAGGTAAAGCATGCTTCAAATCCCAAGAGTCCCTCACTGGTGGGAGTGGGAACAGAGAAGAAATAGTATCCCATCTCCTTTGAAAAGAGCCATTTTCAGCATACTGCAAGTCAAGAGGAATGCTGTTATCCACTGAGCTGCTCAGAGTAGAGGGAAGGGAACTATGGAACACCCTGTTGAGGCCCTAATGTGTGCCAAGCACTGTTAGAGTCACTATTTTCCCCAAACCACGTTCTCTTGAATTAAGGAGTCATTTCCTGTTTTTCAATAAAGAAATTGAGGCCCGAGAAGCTGAGCCCTTGTTAAAGTCATGAAAGCTAGTGACAGGAATCCAGAACTAGAAACGCCTCCTGCCCTGCGGTTCTAGCTCGACCACGGGCTCTGTGCCACCTCTTGCCCTGCCCCTCCTCCTCCAAAACAAGGTGCTCTGATACATTAAAAACATCTTTTGTTCGCGCCTTGTGGTTCCAGTTAACTTAAGTTCAGCAAAGATGGAGACACATTTGGTAAATACCACTGAGTAAAGGGATTTAAAGAGCAACGGGCAGGATAAATAAAAGCCTCTAGTAAGTTGAGGGGTCAGGCAACTTTGCTGTGAACCCCTGATCATTTCTGTTTGCCTTGCTGTTGGCAGTAGACTAATCAACATAGCTACTACTTATGGAAAGCCAAATTAGCTGTGTTGTTAAGTCATCAGTGAGCAACTGATAAAATTCCAATTAAAACAAAACAAAACAAAACAATGTGTAAGCCTGTGAAGCCTTAGGGGTATTGAAACTACCTTTAAAGACACTTTTGTTCTGTTTAATATCCTATATGTCAGAGGTAGCTAGGTTGTTTTAACTAGCAAATTGGCTGCCCGCAACCTGACTGCCCCCCCCCTTTTTAATTTAAAGTAAACATTCTCCTATTTGCTTTGGCTCCCAAGATGCTCAGACTTTTAAGTTGTGTTCTGTGCTGATAAGGAACCAACTAGAATGTAAAGGCATAGAAAGGTTGAAAATAAAGGATGAAAAATATACTGTAAAACAAAAGCTGATGTAGCTATATTCTTTTCACACCAGTATAGCTTGAGGAGAAAATTATTACTAGAGTTCATGGGGATTATTTCAAGGTGATACAAGTTTTAATCACCCAGGAAAAATAGAGACTCTAAACTTGTATGCACCTAATAACATAGGTTCAAACTTATAAAGTGAAATTTGAAATTCCATAGTAGGAAGTTTTTGAACAACTAAACTCATTGGGTTATTTATAGATAAAGCAGACCAAACACACACACACACAAACAGGTCAGACATAGGGGATTTGAACAGCATAATTTAATGTGCTGTTCTAGTTTATAAACTACAGAGTAATGAACACAGCAATCGGGAGCCTATACATTATTTCCAAGCACGCATTGAATTTTTATGAAAACTGCATTCAAGGCCAGGGGTTTTGAAATTATAGTCTGTGGGCCAAATCTGGCCTGCTGTTTCTTTTTGCATATAAAGTTTTATTAAAACCACTTCTAGCCCCTGCTGTTTACTTGGTGTCATAGCTGCTTTCATGCTGCAGTGACGTAGTTGATTAGTTGTAACACCCTGACAAAGCTCACAAAGCCTGAAATAATGGCTGCCTGGCTCTTCATAGTAAAAATGTTTTGCCAACTCCCATTCTAAGCCAAAAAACCAAGGTCCTAAAAAGATGTCTTTGTTTCCTATTCCCCAGTGTGTAGGTTTTCTGGCAAATGGCTGTCTATTCCTTTGATGCCCTTTATGGGATGCTCC